CCCCAAAACCCCAAAACCCCACTTTCCAAAATATTGAATTATGAAATTAAGATTAAAACAATAATTTTAATTTATTCAGTAGTCATAATCTTCATCATATTATTGATCATCTTATGCATTCTTGTAATTATTATCTAGGTATCCATCTTCATCTCCATATTCATTATATTGTTCTTTATTATCATAGTTTTGCTCACTGTAATCTTATCCATCATACTCCTATTATTCATTTTATTACTATTAGTATTGATCATTTTAGCTTTATTGTTGTTGCCTCTGATATTCAATTCTCTATTATCTAATTTATTCGTTTTCATCATCTTTGCTTGTTGATTAAGAGAATCCACTTTAGAAGGCATACTTATTTTAATCTCTTATGTGAATTTTTTCTTAGTTATCATCATTTGAAACACTATGGTTTTCCTCACCAATTTCTGTAAGTTGTTTGTTTATTCTCTTAATTTAAATCACTCTTGTTTTATCTCTTAGCTTAGTGATATTATCCAGATCCTAAACTACTTTCCTCTCTGGTGAATAATCTTTATCGTTTCTTAGTCTCTCATGAATATTCTTTCGAGCGAGGAATCTATACATCTGCTCCTCTTGAATTTTCTTGCCTTGTCCCAACGATGCTAAGCTAACACCTTCCATCTTCAATGCAATTTTCGATCTCATTTCTCCATACTGATTATTTCTATTAAATGGAGAAGTTGGTCGGCCATTAACTATTCTATTTAGCATTGGATCTTTCATATTTAATTGTTCATATTACCTAAGCTTATCCTCCTCTTATTATCTTCTTAGTCTTTCTTCTTTGGATGAAGCACCTTTCCTACTAACATTCAATATCCTTATCATCATTCTCCTTTAAGCCTTGTCTATAATCGTATCAGTTGAGTTCCTCCTGTATCCCTAATTTGAATACTACTCTAAGAGTGTATCAGTATTCGTATAATTCATCATTAGCTATTCATTTTAAGCTAGCAAATTTTTAATCATTGCTTCATCGTCCTCAGTTTCTATTGAATTCTCATTTAAAATAGGATTTTCATCCATAAAGGAGGGACTGTTAACATCATATTAATTACCAGTCTCTGGATCCAGAATTGGCTTTTACATTAGCTCTCTAGTTTAATATTCAATCTCCTTTTGAAACTCATTAAAATCATCTTCAATGAGTTGGGATCTTATTTTAATCTTATCTCTTAACCTCTCTAATTTTACTTGTTTTTATTACTCAATAGGCATATCTTTCTATTCTTAAGTAGCTGACATCTAAAATAGTTGATTATTGTCTATTTCTTTTATTGGTTCACCTTCTTTTAAACTTTTAATAGAATTTACACTTTTCATATCTCTCATCATGACTTCAAGGTTTAAAATCAAATTATCTCTAGTTCGAGAATCAAACTATGTAAAATCCCTTAGTTTCAATAATTTATCTTCTAAAGGCTAGATGTTAATTTGATTATCCAAGTCAATTCCGTTTCTTGAGTTGTCAATATCTTGATCATAAGATGAATATTCTTGGCTGTATTCAATACTTTTTTAATCAGAATAATGATCATCTCTATACTGATTATTATTTTCTTCGTCATTCTTTGATTGAATGTCAGTATAATAATCCTCAAGATTTCCACTATAGCTGCCAATTTTCAAAGAATCTTAGGAATCATCCTAAAATTATTTCTAATCTTATATATTTATTCTTCTCTCAAAATTATCAGTTTGATTCAGCTTTCTCTCGTTGGGACTTTAAAAGCCTGAACCAGCAGATTTTCTACTAGCAGATTTGCTTGAAGACATTCTAAGATGATCCAACTTTCTCATATTCTTTCTGTAGTCTTCTTGATGCTCCTCATCCTCTATTTCTTCTTCTTATATGACATGATTTTAAATTGATTAATACTTCTTCACAGGCTGGCCCTTCTTTTTCTTTTTTTTCTTCTTTTTTTTCTTTTTCTTTCCTAGAATCGCTGAACTGTTAGTAATCAATTTCATTTCTTATTTCAAATCTTTAGCCAATGTTTTCAATCTTTCAATTTCTAGTTCCTCACTTTCACGTTGATCTAATAATGCTTAGAGTCTATTGTTATGGATTTTAGCTAATTCAATTCTAGCAAGCTTTCTATCTATTTTAGTTTTATCTAAACCTCTGTAGTAACGATCCATCTAAATTTTAACATCCTCTAACATAATTTATTATTACTCTTCTAGCTTATCCTTGCTAATTCCTATCGGGAATCCTAACCTTTCATAGAGCTTTTTAGTTATATGATCCTCAACTTTATATTAAGGCTCAATTAATCTTTCAGGAATATGATGCTCGAAATCTTCATTTCTATCTTATGAAGGAGGTTCCCACCAGATAGGTTCATCACTCTTACCAACAACAGCCTGCTACCTTGGAGGAGGTAATTAGTTTCTTTCTATAAATTATTTGAAATCTGGGTTCTTTACTATTTCCTAATTATATTTTGTGTTAGAGTATACTTTATTAAGAAACAGATCATCTAATGGTATACCAAGTTATTCCGTTTCATTCTAGAATTCAGTGTAATATTCCATAAGTTTTTATATTTACTTGATACTCTTGATCTCATCATTTTAAGCTCGTTTAGAGGTCAAGTTATCAGTAATTCTTACTTGTTATGGCCTTTAGTTTTACTGCTATTAATTTCCATCAGAGGATTCCTAATCTTAATTAATGCTGCTTTCTGTTTAACTATTTTATCTAGCAATTCTATAATCCTTCTCCAAAATATTTTAATAGTAACTGCGCTCATAATTTAGGGCTTTTTCTATGTAAAAGAATGCATCTTTAATCTAAAGTTTATCACTCTGTTGCCATAACTGATCATTTTATCTATGAGGTGCTTTGTAATTGGCAGTACCAATTCCTACGACACTTGATTGGCTACTTTTATCCTCTGAACTTGAAACTCCAGTTTCAGTGGCTATATTGAATTGATTTTGAATTTTTCTCAGATTCCTTTATTTCTTCTTATCAATTGGTGGCTTTTTAAATGATACTGCTTGCTATCGAGTTTTATTATTTGGTAAGTTCTCTTTATATTCTGTCATAATTTCATTTTATTGTATCTGTTTTGATTTTATTTAGCTTAATGGAATTTCTTCTAATCATCTCGGCACATTATTTAAACTCAATGATTTATTGAGGCTTCTTTAACTATCTTATTACTTCTGATCAGTTAAGGTAATTGGATCATTTTTTCTTTCAATTATATCCCTGTTGGAGTTATTTTGACTTTCTTCAATTGATGAAAGCCTATCAAAAATCTTATTAGCTGAGAGTGATCTAACTGATCTTTTATCGCTTGAAACATCCGTAGTTTTCCTCAAAAGCATTTCGAAATCTTTAGCATTATCATTTACTTTTTAACTTTTGAGTCTCTACTCTTGCTACTTAATTTCATTCTAGAGTTAATCTTTCTATTTTCTGAGAAATTCTAATTATTCATTCTAAACTCTCATGAATTCACCAAATAAATTCATTGATTAAGTAGCGTATTATCCATCATCTTTGTTACTATTATTTGGATTATATTTATTGCCGATATAATTAAAGCTTTTATCGGGACTACCTACTTTACTTTATTATTTTGCTTTCACATCAAATTTCCCAAGAATATCGTATTCTAGCTTATTTTTATTGGCTTGCTCATTATATTGCTTTATCATCTCAGTCTAACTCAAACCCTTTTCTCTGGCCTACTCAAAAAACATTTCTTTGTGATGAATTTAAAGTCTTAACTTGTCTCTTTTATCAAGTTCTTCCTTTTTTCTTTTTTCTTATTCATTTTGCTGCTATTTCTCCATTACCTATTTCTCCAATTCCTTTCTGTATTCCTCCTACTTCTGAAACTTTTCTTCACCTTAATTTTACTTTGAATTCATTGTTTAAAGCAAAGGTTTATACGCTATGTTAGTGTCAGTCATACTAGAATTTAATCTCTAGTGTGCTATATTGTCAACAGGATTCTGCAAATCAAGCAATAATTATGGCTTATTCTTTGAATTTTCTTAATTATTATTCTAAGATGGTATAAAAATGCCAATCATATCTTTATTTGAAGGAGTTCTTTTTTTAAGAAAATGAGGTTGGTTGTTGTAAGGTTTAGCTGGATTTTATTAAAGCTATTATATAAGTGGGAGTATGGGTTTGTTTATGGGAGGTAAAATTAAAGATTAGACATTTTACTAATTTGCTATATTCATAATTCTTTTAGTATTGCTGCCTTTAATTTTTATATTTAGTTAAGTTTTAATTTTATAATTACACACAAGATAATAAATTATTAACTATCGGGGTTTTGGGGTTTTGGGG